CCAAAGTCAGGGAATATGTCGTTAGATAAAGACAACAAGATGAATGAAATATCCCGTTTAATAAATATAGTGAGATTAGATCCAGCGGGAGATGCTTGATGAGAAGTCCGACTAGCAGAGCTCTCATCTGGGTAGATGGGCTGAGTGTGATTAAATGTTGAATGTGATGAGTTTTCAACAATACTAAATTGAAACTTTATTTTTTTTTACATGGTTTAATAATTTTTTGTTATTAAAATTGAAGTTCCTGTTTCAAAGCTTACAGATAGATGGCTAATTTGTATGTCATTGACACTTTTGGCACTTTTTTGGAGTATTTTCATAAGTTTTGTTTTTTCCTGTAAATGATTCAATAAATACCGTACCGTGACATTCATACCGAGGTATTACCGTACCGTGAAATTCTGATATCGTTACATCCCTAGTATTTACTCTTTTTCAGGCAAGTACTTTTTCACATACTCTTATTGTACTTATTGTTTTTCCCTCTCCTCTGTTGCCACTAGCTTGCATGGTTTGGGATCGGTAGAGCTACGCATTGATGAGCTACGCAACAATAGATTTGCTCTTCAGTGTTTAGGCCCTCAGTAGTGAATATCAAACCACACTGAACTGAGCTGAACTGAACTTAAACACTAAAGGCTGAACTACACTGTTTCAATTTACTATGATCTTCTATGTGCAGCTGCTTTGACACAATCTACATCGTAAAAGCGCTATTCAAATAAAGGTGAATTGAATTGAATACAACATGCAGTATAGCCATGTCTAAAGTTAATGAAGATTAATGAATGAATTAATAAAACACACAAATGAACAAACTGAACAAAAGACATTACTACATACACACGCTTACTGTATACAGACCCTAATACTACCATTAATCCATGCTCCTTTCACAATATTATTAATACATATTCTTCTTTTAATGTACCTTTATGTAAAATACACACAAAATCGTTGAGATTTTTGGCCCCTTTAACCCTTGAAGACCTAGAGGTATTTTGTGGGCACCTAATGGGCTTATATTATATATTTTTTTAAAGCAGTTTTATTGTTATTTTAACAGCCTCAATTGTCATATATTATTTTAAACAGGCGAACCTAAAGCTTTAATCTGTATCGTTAGCCGCATTTCCACTATCGGGCCAGTGCGAGCCAGGGCTTTAATCGGGCCGGGCCGGGCCAATAGCCCGGGAGGTTGAGGAATGAGGCTGAAATCATGTCGCGTTTCCACTGTCGGGCTAGTAGCTCACAGCGCGTAACGCAAACACCGCCCCCAGAACATCCCCGAATCAAACGTCACACAACCCGCCCACTTCAGCGGGAATGAGGCAGATAAAGCACATCATAGAATCATCACGAAACGAAACCATTAAAATGAAGACAACCGAAATAAACAAACGACACGTTACTGTACAGCCGTACATGAAATGTCTATACGCACAGACCTGTGTATTTCCATTCATTACATTTATTGTTTACTCGCCGACGGACTGTTAGCATTGTGCATGGAGTGCTCTCGCCACTAACGCAGGGACCCATCACAGTGAGCGCACACATCCATAACATAAAGCCACAGAAATTCTCCTTTATAACTCGATATGGTATGTATTTTATAACATCCTCGTTTTGATAGACGCCGTGTTAAGTTTTCAGCACAAGAGCAAGTAGCCTAATAAAGTATAGCCATATTTGTTGCTCTCTGCAGCTATTCACTAAAGCTCTTCATTTAAAGTTTCATTTATAAATTTAACCACGTCATATAAAAACATAAACAGTTGTTTGAGGATATAGAACACATTTTGTGTTTGGACTTTCCCCCATATGCGTTTAAAGCTGCGCGCGCTGAGCAGGAGTGACAGAAAAAAAGGTATAGGCTAGATTCTGCATTCACTCACCGATATAATGCTCTGTTTGCGCGATTTCATTAATATCATCGTATCCAAATACTTTAGAAATATTTACTTATATAAATATTTACTTTATATAAATATTTCAAACCTTCTCCGGTGTTTAGTTTTTAGAAAATATCGAAAATCTTTTTTCTTTCAGACAGGTCTTTGTAAAATGAAAGTTAGGCTACATGTGGCTTTAAAACGGTTTGATTTATGTATTGTATATAGGCTACCTACATTGTTATAGCTAGCTTTTGTTTATTTTATATTGGTTAATTTATTTAAGGTGATTTTAAATTTATCCGATATTTGTAATTCTTTAAATTATATTTCAATATAGCTTAGGCTATTTGATCAAGATATGACAGTATATTGTTTAAAGTCTACGAAAGTGGGCACGTATTTTGTTAAGTTTTATGTCTCTCTAATGTATTTATATTGTGTATTATCTCCAAAATAAATAAAGAAAAAAAGCCGCTCGCGGAATCAACAGAGCTGTGAAGGAGCGCTCTTGCCCGGTCTCACACACACATACACGCATCTAAACGTGCACAAACAAACATTTTAAACTTGACAAAAACTCTGGAAAACCTTTACTGTCTGCTGTGTCTTTAATATGGTGTAAAGATTATTATGCGTTATTGAAACATAAAGGAGGACGCAGCAAAAAACGTCACTATGAATTAAAACTACTTTATTATTTTATGCAGCAGCCTTACATTTAAAAGCGAAACATAAGGGCGATCATACGCAAAAAGACCCCAGACTATAAGGCCAGATGTTTTCTTTCCCTTATTTCTTTATTTGTTTGGCGCATGTACTCATGTGCGATCAGAAAACTGCCCGCCTCTCCTTTCACTCCGCCCCGAAGCCCCAGCTGGCCCTCCTTGGCCCAAGGTATTCGGCGGGCCGAAAAAGGCCGGCCGCTGGCCCCAAGAAAGCCTCGCTTTGGCCCGATTAGGCCCCGGAAGTGACAGTGGAAACCCCACTGGCCTTGGCTCGCCCTGGCTCGCTCGCTTTAGGCGCGATAGTGGAAACGCGGCTATTTAAAGGTCCAGTCTAAAATATCTTTTGGTCCAAAAACATATAAAAAGACAGATAATATTCCAGAATTTTAAGAGAAACGGTTTTTAAAAAGGTGGCATTTTCTAGTTAGTACCAACAAAACCTCATGAAGTTTTTTTTTTTTTTTTTTTTTGCACGCTATGATGTTTTATACTTCCAAAATCAATTTTGTCTACATCCATCATTCCCTGAGCAAGTTATAGCAATTTATTTCAACGTTATTCTAAGGCGATTTTTGAGCGGGGAAAAAACTAGTGACTTTAACTTACTGACAATGTATTTGCCCAAAAGTTCTGGGAATGAACTAAACAGAAAGATTGTTACAAAATAACAGAACACTGAAGAAAGTTTGACTTTCCAAATAATATATTTTCAGTTACCATAAACAACACCATACAATGAACAAATAAACAAATAAGAAAATAATAAATAATGCATCAAAGTCAATGGTGTAAATCCTCAGTAAAAAATAGATATAAATATTTATTATACTATAAATAGTCACATAATTAAACTAGATTTAATATAGACCATCCTTAGGTTTTGTTACGACAAGAGGGGATGACACACACAACTGGAGGTAAGATCCAATATGCAGGTTTATTCAGCGTCAGGCAAGCAATGGTCAAAACAGGTGCTAACGGGTATATACAGGCAGTCCAGAATCGTAGTCGTATAAACAGGCAATAGGTCGTAAGGCAGGTGGCTAAACAGGAGAACAAGGATAAACGAGACTGGGTCAAAACAAGACAGGGTAAACGCGTTGTAATGTCATCTGAGATAAACAAGACTCTGCAAACAGAAAGGGTGAACGTGTGGCTTATGGAGTGAATGCAATCAGTCTCTGACAGTCCACAGGTGTTGCGAGTGTAATCAGTCTAGATGAGTGAGCATGGGTGTCTGGGCTAAGTGCATGTATGAATATGTAGTCCAGGAAAAGGGGTAAGTGTAGGCCATGGTTATTGTGTGAGAACCAGCGATCTATGGAGAAACATCGCTGGTTATCTTAACAGGTTTTATGTGCCAGCATAAGGTGTTGACCCTGCTGCTTTTCAACTTTTGCGTTGCAGACAAAAAGCCGCACCGTCATTTGCATCCTTTGAAAACAGCAAGAGCAGCACTTCGTCTTTGCTGTGTCACTGTTTTGTCATGTTTTTGTGCTGTTGTGCATGCAAAAGTACTTAGTATGAGAATTATTTAATGCAAAACTTTTTTTTTTTTTGCATTTTATTTAGACGTTCGTAAATGTACAGCCTATTTCTCATTCCGGGTTCTTCAAATAACTGATTTCTGGTCCACAAAGCGAAACCTATGCTTATTGGTTGAGAGAGAGCGAGTTTGAACCAATCTGGGTATGGAGGAGGGACAATGCGTCAATGCATCATGTCTGGTTTGTCCGGAGACACAAGCCACGAGCGTTCATTTGTCAAATCAGCGTGGTCAAAATGTGATGACGTAACCACTCTAAGTCCGGAGCCTCCGAATGTATTGAATGTAATGTTTTACAGTGATGGAAAGCTGAGACTCTCTTCTTTATGGCAATCTTTGAATTGTACGGATCGGATCAGCGGATCAAAGGGTATTAAACACTTAAAAAGAATACTTATTTTTAGCCGCGGGCGGCTGTTTCGGTCTTTAAGGGTCAAGTCAAGCAGCAAAATAATGGGGTTACTAAATAAACTCGATTCTGAAAAGCTGATTTCAAAAGTCATCTGTTTATAGTTGGCATTTGTGGTTTTCAATTAGATAAAACAACTTTTTCTTCTAAAAAATTATTCCCTAATAAAAAGTGTAATCTCAGTGAATCAGCTACGTCGGTGGCGCTAGTCAATCCACAATAATTTAGTGGCTGCATTTTATTTTAAAATGAATTTATTTATTGAAATATTGTGAATTTAGGTAAGAGCATTTAAATTAATAATATCAACAACTAATTCTTTTAGGGGTGGCCAGAAATTACACAGGTTGGCCGTGGCAGCCCCTGTGTCAGCGTGTTGTCATGTCATTTAAAAGGCAGTCTTTTCATTTTTATTCCAGACCTGATGGAGGACACACACCGTCACAAGAAAATGAGTGAAAAAACTGACTCACTGAAGAGAAAAGACAAAGAATGTGTGACCTGCACTCAGTGTGGAAAGAGTCTTGCACACAACCAGAGTCTCAGGAAACACATGAGGATCCACACTGGAGAGAAACCATGCACATGCACTCAGTGTGGGAAGAGTTTCAGAGAATCATCAACCCTTAATGTTCACATGCTGATCCACACTGGAGAGAAAACACACAAGTGTGATCAGTGCTGCAAAACATTTCTGAGGGCTGCAGACCTGAAGGGCCACCTTAGAGTTCATTCAAAGGAGAAGCTTTATCCGTGTTCTGTGTGTGAAAAGAGTTTCAGACATCAACGTAGTTTAAGAAATCATCAGAAGATCCACACCGGTGTGGGAGAGTACAAGTGCTTTGAGTGTGAGAAGACCTTTTGTGCAGCTGGAAATTTGAAAATACATGAGAGAATTCACACTGCAGAGAAACCTTACATTTGTTCACTGTGCAATAAGAGATTCAGTCAGCTTGCACATATGAAAACACATGCGACTGTTCACACTGGAGAGAAACCTTACAAGTGTTCACACTGTGAGAAGAGATTCAGGCGTTCAGGAGAAGTGAGACAACATGAGAGGACTCACACTGGAGAGAAACCTTACAAGTGTTCACTGTGCAATAAGAGATTCAGTCAGATTGCACAAAAGACAATACATGAGAGGATTCACACTGGAGAGAAACCGTACACGTGTTCATACTGTGATAAGAGATTTAAGGATTCAGGAAATCTGAGACAACATGAAAGGATTCACACTGGAGAGAAACCTTACAAGTGTTCACACTGCGACACGAGATTCAGACAGTTAGGAGGCCTGAAAATACATGAGAGGATTCACACCAGAGAGAAACTGTACGTTCACACTGAAAGTGGCGAGAGCGTCAAAGTAGGCGGAAGTCAATGAGAGCCGGCGGCGCGGAGCAGGGCGGCGCGTCTTGGCTGGTGTGGGCATCGAGGAGAGTTGAAATCAAGTCAGCTTTATGGTAATAAGCTATGACGCGGTTCGGTGGCAACCAATCAGAATGTAGAAGTCCACCGCTTGAGAGGAGTCCAGAGAACACAGTCACTGTGAACTTTGGTTCTGGCCACAGTTGTTCCCAAGGGTTTGATTATTGCAATCATCGGATTTCTAATTATTTACAATGTTTTCTTACAGGAACATTTAAAAAGGTACTGGCGAATTACTGATGTACATTAATTGTTTTTTTTTTTCTTTAAAAAAGTGGGAAACTCATGCGACAATACAAAACAGTGCTGCTGCATCAGGATATTACAGACATATGGACACATAGTGGATGAGTGGAGCAAAGCCAGACCACAAGCAACTTGATCTTCCGTAGTTAAATGAGTTTGAGAATAAGAGCTGAAGGCAGACCGCGTTGTCACCAGGGTAGTCCACAGTGTTTTTTTAAAGGTTTGATGGTGTTTATGGGGTGCAAAACAATGTGTGTTCATGATTCGTCTATAAAAACTCTCGAGACAACCTGAGCTCAAACTGCCCTCTTGCCCTGCAAAGGGAGGGACCCTGTGCTCAAGGATCTTATAAGCTCAGGGCTTTCACCCAGGACAGCATGACAAACAAGCTTTATAATCAGTCATCAGCTAAGTGTGAACTCTTGAATGTGTTGTGATTGGCGGGTCGGCTACACATCACCAGGAAACGTCATGCCTCTCCTGCATGCTGTCTGTTAATAATGTCAGTGAAGACGTATCAGTTTGAGTCAGACACAGAAATGAAGAGGACACAGCTGAAGCCATGCAAACGCGACTCTTGCAAGATGTTTCTGAATGGTGTTTTTGTTTTGTTCATTGGTATGAGGAGGAATGTGGTCAAGCCGTCCGCATTTGATAGAAATAGTTAAAGCAGATCAAACAGACAGAGTAACTCTTTCTAAATTACAGATTTGCTCAGTTATTTGTCCTAGCCCACTCAGTACAGTGTATTTACTATTGCATGCAGTTTTATATAATGTGGTTTAACCTTGTGAGCGACAGTAGGAAACAAATTAAAGAAACATTCAAATACTTTGTGTTACAAATATTCCTTTATTTCATTTGCAGGTCATTGCAGATCCACATGCAGGTTTATTACAAGAGAATGGTCAGGCAAGCAACGGTCGATACAGGAGCAAACGGATGTATACAGGCAAATCCAGGGTCGTGGTCATACAACAGGCGGAGGGTCAAAAGGCAGGCAGCAGACAGGAATAAACAATAAAACAAGGCAAGGGTCTAACACGGCAAGGAAAACGCATCGTTAGGGATGGATGACGTGAAACTGATGTTTTGACACAGTGTCGAGATCCCAAAGCACAAGTGTTGTGAAACACCCAGGTCACGTGATTAAGGAGATTTGAAACACCAGGTCACTTGTATAAATTGATTCAGAGCCTCGATCATTTCAAAAGCTTTTCGAGACTTGCCCTTATCTGCGTTTGACTGACAATCCTCTATCTCATGTAGCCTAGTGGGCTATTGTGTGCACAAAGTAACTGTGCTGCAAATGGTCTGAGTTTAAATCCTGACTTGTACAAATACTCTGAAATTATGATTTGATGTATTTTAATAATGTTTCTTTATGTTTTATGACCAAAATCAAGACATATTTGTTCAAACAGTGTTCATTTACAAGAACAGCGCAATTACAAACTAAAATTTATAACTGCATCACCGTTGATTCGAACCCATTACCTCTGCATGCTAGTCAGGAACTCTCACCGCTCCACTAAATGACTTGAAACCTCAACTCTACAGCGTGGGGTTTAATACATCAAATTGCTGAACTGTTTCTTTGCGGAAGCTGTTCCAGAGCAATACAGAAAAATGACCACTAGGTGTCACTGTAGAGACAGGGTTTCAAAACATTTCAAAGCTTCGACACATTTGCTTCGGCTGTTTCAGGGTTTCATGAAGCCTCGCTTTGTCTACCACTACACGCCTTAATGTCACAACAACAGATAATAAGACTCAGCACTGAAGTGTGTGTATGTTATTTGTGTACAAAGTCTTTCCAATCCGTTCCTGAGCAGCTCCCAACCGTGTTTGTATGTGTGATCAACCGAATGAGGAACAGGTGTGTGTGAGCGGTGCATGACTGGACATGTAGTTCTTTAAAGTGGCAGATTTGTAGTTCTTCGGTGATCTGCACAGGCTGGATCGCAGGTGACCGTGACATAAAGGCTCTAAAGACTCCGTTTCTAATCGAGGACAGGTAAAACGGTAGACTTTGATCTACTTTGGTTTTTCTTTTACTTTCTGCGGTTTAACCACATCGTAAATCTGCAATCGTAGTGACATTGTACTGTAGTCAGGCTAGAACAAAGTAAAACACATTTCAGGTATTTATAAAGAGTATGTTTATGCTAAATAAATAAAAGAAAATATTACAAAAATTAAAGCAGGGACAAACCTATAGTGAAAACAACACACTTTAGTGAATGAGTAAATAATGAAACACGCTACAGAAACAGGAGTAAATGATATGATGTGGTATTTCCTTTATTCTGAGTAAAACTGCTCATTTCTAATACTGATTTAACTTTTTTCTTTTGTCAGATGGGTTCAGGTAGTTCCTCTGTCTTCAGCAAAATTCAGCATTAGTTCAATTAGCTTAATGGACCTTTCGATAAGCCCCGCCCTCCTTAGTAACTGTTGCTACGCCTGTCAAGCTTTCGTGCCTGGCATGGCTTTTTCAATGTGTGTGCGCAGGTCTCAGACATTGCCAGGGATATAATTAGTCATTTTGGCGAACAGGTGAAATATTCAAGAAATTCAGACAAAAAAGGACTGCAGTGTGCATTACAGGGGTATATTCACAGCATAATAGGCAACCGATTAGAGAATAAATCAATCAAAATTTAAGCTAGTGTCGTGAATTCGACTTCTCATCAATTAGAAATGATCAGACCGGAGGTTTTGAATATCAGAAAATAGACTTTATTCTCCATAATGAAGTTGAGAGAGCAGAGCAGACCTCATAGCATTCTCCTCCTGCTCCTTCTCAAGTATCTGTGTTCTCCATAATCTTTATACAGGTTATTTGACACACCCCTAGGTGTCTCATTTTAACTTTTAACCATTTTAGGATAGGTTTTTACTCTAGGTGGCCCTATTATTCTTGGCTCTCAGCCCACTAGCTCATGTCAACAGAGATGTTACAGGTCTATGTCAGCCAAAGTTCTCTCTCCATAGATGCAACTCATGCAAAAGGACTAAGTGTTTACATACATTGTCATGAAAGCATAATCACTTGATAATATGTTACTCATTCTTACTTCTGACACATATAGCTTCATACAAGTATTTAACATGTATAATCAGTGCTTTACATATTCGGTTATTCTACACAATCAGTCATTCAGTCATAGCCTTCTCCTAGTGTTGCTCCTGTGCAGGCATACTCATCTTACACAGACATATCACTGTATTTTTAACACAGGCTGGCATGTTTGCTGCAAACACTACATACGTTTTGTGAAGAGAAAATTAACTGCTTTACACTTAGAAAACACTTCACAGAGAGAGAATAGAAATCTTCTTCACAAGCTTAGCTTAGCCACCTCATGCACTGACCATTCAACAGCTTAGCACATGCACAGCAGGAGGAATTGGAAAAACAATCTAATTATAAATGATGAAACCGCGATTTCTCTATTTTTAGCCAAAAACCCTGATAGATTAATTGTTGTGCAATGAAATATAGCGTTACTAACGGACGAGCATGGACAGTGCTTTTACATAGTTCATTCATAGAAAGAGCAGACAGAAAGAGGAAACTGATGGATTTGTGCCGAATATTAGCATCATTGACTCATAACAATGTACAGTAAGTTACCCATTACTGTCAGTATGTTTGTGTGCTCTTTATAAATTAATGAAAAGCAGCTGCTGGTAAAGTATATTGATCATAAGTGCTCAGTTTGTGATCATATTTTGTTCTCTTGATTTGTAATTTCAAATATTCGTAGCGTGAAACAGATGGAAATATGAAGTTCAGTAAAGTTAGCAACAGATTCACAGATTCGTAATTTCCGGATCAATAACTGATGTCATTATGACCCATTCGCTATTAAGCCTGTTTCACACCGCAAGCGTCAGCGGCGCGTGAGCAGAGCGTGAGCAGCACGTATGTCGAGCAGTAGCAGCACGCAGGCGTTTGCCTTTCACACCAGCTGCGTCTGCAGCGCGCAGCTCTTCGGCAGCTGCTGCAGAGATCAACCTATCTCTGTCTATTCTATCTAGTTATCCATGTCTCTCTATATACAAATACACTTTTTAAACTTTTCATCTGCACCAAGGCCCCTCCTATGCTGTTTCTTTAACCTGCAAATGTTTATTTTACAAATTTTATAAATCAAATAGTGCTGTATGCTTCTCAAGCTAATTTATATGAGAAGTGTCTACAGTCAGAAGACAATCGCCTGTGTTATTATGTCATTTGTTTTTTTGATTATCAAGTTGCTGTAGACCTAGTTATAATCATATTTATACAATATAGTTATAATGATATTTATATATGATCAAACTAGTGTTACTTTCTCCGCTTCAGTGTTGTCCAGCGGCAGAATAACAGCTCGTTAATTCATGCTCGTGCAGATGATGAGACGGACAAAATTAACCAGTGCATGCCATTCTTTTACTTATTTTCGTGTTGTCAGATTCACAGTGCAAACAGCTCCCGGTAGGAATAATTCGAGTGAACAGAAAACAAAGCCGATTAAAACTTTCTTCCTCTGCTCAGCTGTAGAGAACACAGCAAGCTCACATCATCCAGCATGCGTGTCGAACTACACTACCCACAATACACTTCGCTATGGACTACAAATCCCGTAAATATTCTATTTCCCCTCTCCTACAACACTAGTGTGCAACTTAAGCAAAACTGATAGTAAAATTGTTTTACATTTGGTTTTGTAGTTCGGGCCTAAATAAATGTTTGTTGCCGTTTTTAATCGTTTTAAGTTCATTTGATTGACTATATATAAACCATTTGACATTATTAACGCATTTATTGGGTAAAATTGCTAGTTTTTACTGTCATTCAATGTGTTTTGGTCATTATCAATGCACTGTCACTTTAATTGAGCGTGAGCAGCGCGTCAAAAATAGACCCAGCGGCGAAACTATCGCTGCACTGCTGCTTCAGCGACGCTCACGCCTCGCTCTGACGCGCCGCTGCTGCGTGCGGTATGAAAGCTCTCATTTGTTAACATGTGGACGCTGAAAACACACGCGCTGCTCATGCGCCGCTGACGCTTGCGGTGTGAAACAGGCGTTAGTATGACTAACGTTACTAACGCTATGGCAAAGGCGTAAATGGAGCATTACTCACAAACATAACCAGCTTTGAAACATAACCAGCTTTGAAACATAACCAGCTTTGAAACATAACCAGCTTTGTATTTTTGTAGGAAACACAATTTAGATCTGTTTAGGGTAAGAGGAGTGCAAGTTATTGCCATCTATCACTGAATGTGTCAGGAATATCAAAACAAAACCAACTTAGCTCCGCCCCTTTAGCGCTCCTCACAGAGCTTGATCCACGCTGGCATTTCTCCTCTTGGGTTTTTGGTTTTGAAAAGGGAAAAAATTCCAACACCCTGTCCAAACTTTAAGGATACCGTATGTCAGATTTGCACAATCCATGCACTTGCTCGAAAGCTTCACAGAGTCCCTACGCGTAGCTACAGTTGCTAAGCCCCGATTGGTGGGTGGCGGTTTTTGGGCGTGGCTTAGCAAAGAGTCAATTACACAAATGAAGTCAACTGAACAGCTCCAGATTACAATGGGTTTACTTACATTATCTTTGTGAAGTCAGCTTGTTGTTTTTAAAGGGTCACGAAACACCAAAACACATTTTTGAGCTGTTGACAGTCGTATATGTGTCCCACACTGCTAAATTTTGTGACCGGAATAACACACGCGGCTTTCTGACGCTACCTGCCGAGTGCATCTAAGTTTCCGGGAAATGCGGAGGGTTTTTTTCTCTCATTCGCCGTGCGGTATCAAACATTGCATGAAAAATACACGCTTAGAGCAGATCCTCGAATCAAATATCTTGTTTGTCGCGAGGGGCATGAATGAATTCCCTGAATGAAAGAGCCAAACTGCAGTTAAAGTCCACCATTTAATAATTTGGCAAATAATTCGACTACAGATGTCCATGTAGGTTAAACACCATCACTTTCTCCTGTGTGTGTGTTTTGACTGAAACTCGAGCGTGCCCAAATAAACACTCCCACACCCTCCCACTTCAGTTCCTCCGACACTCCCCCCTAAACAGAGCTGGACACGCCCACTTTTCTGACTTTTTCCAAAGTAGAGGTGTGAAAACACCCTGCTGAAACGAGGGGGCTTCATGGCCCTTTAAGGCAATTGATTTACTCGATTTAAGTAATGAATCACTTTTTAGTGTGAGGAATCATTTAAACAAATTAAAATGTTAAATTTAGAGAACTTAAAAGATAAATTAATAAATTTTTGCTGCCTAATGAGTAAGTTAAACACACCTGTTTCAGTTTTGATGCCAAAACTTGATATTTTAAGTAATGTCAATTATATTAACTGAATTTCTTTAGTAATGACAACAGCGGGGTTTAGCCTACAGTGTGGAGTGAGCTGGATACAAAACACATGGAGTGTGGAGCAGTAGAAACTCTTGCTGCTTCACTCCGCTCACTATTTACTATAGTATTAGTTCATGTGTGGTGACTGCTGTCAATTAAACTGTTTTTTTTTTTTTGTCCTATGATGAGTTGAACTAAAACAAGAAGTTGTATTAAATGTTTTTTTTTTGTTGGTGGTTCTTTATTTATTTATTTATTTATTTTCTGCTTAACGTTGATTCTGATATGATTAATTTGACTGAAGCTGATTTCCTCCTGGAGCCCCGTGACCGCTGTAAGTCGCTGTTGCTGTGATTGTCCTCTAGATGGCAGTAGTACACAGCACACTGATAGCGGAGGCGCTGGAGGAAAAGCTCAGAACAAGCAACATTAAACTCGTGTTGAAGATGAGAAGAAACAAAGAGGCTACACTTCAGCTTTTATCAACTCTAGAGAGATTATTTAGCGAACACGACACAACTCCTGCCTTTCTTCATTATATCCTGGCTCTTGACTGTCAATTCCTCTGTGAAAGCGATCAGGAATAGCGGACTTTTACCGTGTTCATATGTAAACAGGTAACGTTGTGTTTCTCTCCTTATTTATTAGTTCAGATTCCTACTTTCTCAATATTCAAGTGTTTTTCTCTCGGCTGTGTTCCTCTTCAGTACTACATTTACAACAACTATATTACAACACAGCACAGTTTACTGCAGTAAAAACTCATGTTTACTACAGTATGCAGAGCTTTTTCTCATTTCACCACAGTTACTGCTTCAACATTCAGTAACACAGTTGTACAATACACTTTATTATAGTGTGGTTCAAAAACACTTTAGTATTAACTATAAATTACTGTAGTATTTTTCATGTGGGTTGTCGTAAAATTGTGGGAAAATGTGTTAAATTATGGGTAACTCTTGAAAGTAGTTGGTATAATTTCAAGATAAAGGTTGGTTAATGCCTTTACGAAAATGAACAATTAGTAATACATTCATTACGGTATTCATCCATCCTTGTTAACATTATTTAAGTAAAACAACGTTAGTTCATGTTAAATCTCTGCACAACTTTGGATTTTATTAAAGCATTAGTAAATGTTGAACTATGATCAATTAACAGAACAATTCATACTTAGTAAATGCGTGAACTGATGGACTAAATTTATTATAAACTATTACTGAACTATGAAAAAAAATATTTGGCTGTAAAATATTGATAAGATAAAAATAACTATTTATTAATGTACTGTAAATTTGTAACTTTATTTGCGTATTAGCAAGCCATAATTTTTAAAATATATAGATCACAGCTCGTTTTTATTTTTGTATCTTTTTGAGAAAGAATTTGATCAGTGTTTTATGCATTTTAAAGTCTTAAATTTCATTCCATTGTCCAAAATGATTTAATAATAATATAATTAATTATTAATAGTAATTAATTAATTTTAATGTAATTCATTGTCACTATTATTGTCATTTTCATCATCATTAATATTCTATTATTATTAGACATTCATTTTGGAATTATTGCACACAAATATCAATGTCATCTCAGCATTAGTTAGTTGTTTCTGGCTTTGTTAGTCCTCATTGATGTTATTTTAAAATACAAGAAATGCCTTAAAATACAATTTGCAATGGTGTTTATACATTTTTAGTGGGTGCTCCTAAATTTTTTCTGGTGCTCCTAAATTCTTTTTGGAGCACTGATGCTACCAAGTAAAAAAAAAGTTCATTTCGAGCCCTGTTACTATATATCTTGTTGTAAAGTAAAAAAAGTAAAACACATTTGTATCAGCTTTGTCGATGGTAGGTAAAAGGGGAGTGGCCATTAAACGACTAGTGAATCATCATGAAGAAATGTCTAGCCTATATATAATGTAGCCTATACTATCTGAAAAGAGATGAGTGGAGTGTCAGAACAAGTAAGAACAGTTAAGTAAGATCTTTAGTTTTTTTGCAAAAAAAAAACATGTTGAGAATGCATAATACTCTCCCATGTCTTTTTTTAATAAAGAGACCTATACCATTAACCTATTATTAGGCCCACACGGAGTCTGCGTGGGCAGAATTGTTCGAGATTTTCCGCAGATTTCTGCAGATTTTTAGCCCATCATTAATTCTGTTTATTTACTTGAGTAAATGTGTGTGAATCTATATTTATTCAGTTTTTAAATTAATTACAGTAATATTATTGACTAATGTGAAAATGTTCATCTGATTTATGCACAATGCAGTTTGTAAAGTAATATTTTCTGACTTTAAGTTGAGATATTATATGAGACTTGCTTTGTTTACCAATTAAAATAGATCTAATTTGATTTGCAATTTAAACATTAGATAAAAGTTAAAGGGTATTACTTTTTTTTTTTTTTTTTTTTTTTACATATTAAGGTTTTAGTTTTGACACTCCCAAAATAATTCCGCAGATTTTACCAAAATTCTCTGCAGAAATAGCAAAACCTTCAGCAGATTCCTTCTGGCCCTTATTATATTATAAAAATATTAACTTTATTCACATACTAAAGGGACAGGACAGGCTTCTCCTCCCAAAATGTACAAAAAAAAGCTTATTATACCGTGATATTATACCATCACCGTTAAAAAGATGAAAAATACTGTGATATTAATTTTAGGTCATATCGCCCACCCCTACTACCTAGATTATCATTACCTAAAGAGCATGGAAGAGGTGGATCTACGGTAAATCCACATGCTCACGCACTAATACCTTTTACATTTATAACACTGTAAACTTGACTTCACAGGCCGATCATCTTTAAACTCAAAAGGCATTCTTAAGTGTCCTAACTTGAGACTGCTGCTGTAGAATGGGATGTTTCTTTACACAACTGTAAACCTTTTATCAACGCTTCCATTTTAAACAAGTGGCAAAAGGAATGGGATGCATTAGAAAACAATAAATTACATGAAATCCAACCTGAAATTTCACACAGAATTTTAAGAATCGATTTGATCAAGTCGTTTTTACCAGATGTCGTATTGGGCATACGAGAATAACACATGGTTTTTTGGTCCAAGGTGAAAACCCTACTCAGTGTTTGTGCTGCAAAACTCCTCTTACTATAAAACACATTTTACTGGACTGTCCTGCTTTTACTGATTCCAGAAGCCTTTTTTTTATGAAATGAACTCTTTTAAGGACATGTTTGACACAGTGAAACCAGAAAAGATTTAAGAATTTTTATCATGCATTAACACAAAAAAAATCTTATTTAATTTATGTTTTATTTAGTTTGTTGATTTTTAAATTGTATATTTATTGTTGAAAGATTCCTGCCGTGAAAATAGCCTTGGTTGCTGACATGGCATTAAATAAAAAATACATTACATTACACAACTGTAAAAGTGAGCTTTAGCGATGTCAAAACGAAAGCAAATATTTTTAACGGTTCTGCATTCTGTAAATTTTATAGCTTAATTATTATAATAATAATAATAGATATAATGGCAATAATAATAATAAATATAATTAGTACATTTTAATATTACTTAGTGTAGACTGTGGGACTGTGCAGTGTCCAACTAAACATTTTATTAAGCTACTCTAATATTAATCCCTAACTGAAAAACTATTGTGAAGCTTAATTCTTCTTTAAAAAAAAAACATATCGGGGGAAAAAATTATGCATGCGAGTAAAAAAACTGGAATATAGCATTTAATCCTTTTTGATTAAACTTAACACCTAACATGTCAAAAACTTAAAACGTTAAACATTAACATATGAGTACAATACTATCAGTGCTTCTCACAGGTTGAAATATACTTTCGGTGGTCGCCGGATCGAAACACACCATTTACCCACATCACATTAATAGTTACCTACATGTGACAAACAAAACATATTTAATTTTTACAATAACTTCATTTATTTATGTTATACACTGTTTACTGTCAATGGGTTGAAGTAAAAAAAAAAACTGTTAAAAATCATCCACTTCCCTTGCCTATTCAGGAACCATGAGCACCGCTGACAGGTCAAATCTGCTTCTTTCTCTTACAAGTTTAAAGCAAACTTGAATGCAAAAGCATTTTAGATATGTTTATAAAATAGCCTATGATCATCGAATTGATAAAATATACAGCAAATGAGAATTAAATGACAGAAAAAAGAATAAAAACAGACAGTATCTCTAAAAACTATCATATTTACAAGATTTAAATGTGTAGATTATTTAAAGAAGGCAAATGCATTGATTAACTACTGATGGTGTGAGTCTATTTTGCAGCCAGTTTAGATCAGTCGTTTCGTCCTCTACGAAGATATGGAGTAAAGTGTTTCTGAGTCGTTAAGATTCAAGAATGTATTATTGAATGTTTCTCTCGCGACTGTGTGAGCAGTCAGCTGCAAAGCCAAGCGAAAGTAGGCTTAAATAAAAAAATATGCATACAATTAATGAGTGACAGCTTTAGAAAGAAAAAGTCGAATCCTGGACATTTAAGCACAGTTAGAAACCCGGCCAGATGAATTTTTTAAGTGCCAAAAAGGAAGGGAGGAAAGTTTTTGTAAAAGTTTGGAAAAACCTGAGGGATAAGTTTGTTAAAAAAAAAGAGGCTCCAAAAACATCTTCAATTATATTAATGATTCTCTTTTTATTTGTCTTATTTTACTGTCTGTTTATTTTGACCCCCCCTGTCATTTAAGAGAATATCTCAATGGCGAACGCGTCAAGTATAAAAGCCTCATCGGTTTCGTGAATTGCACAATGAGGCGCCTGGCGAAAGTATAAATCAGCATTAAGATGTTTGTTTGTTTTTTCTGTAGTTCAATGGTGCATCTGATCTGTCTTCAGTGCTGTTTAATTTAAATAACTTTATTTTAACACTAATTTCGTGATTTTACATTTTCTCTCGCGTGTTTTTGATATTGGGATATCGGTCTTAAATTTAATACTTAATGATCCTAAACAGTCTTAAATTTGACATTAGGATATCTGCAGAAACTCTGCTTAATGCCGAGTTCAGACTGCATGATTTTCAAAGTAGTCGTGTCACAGATGTTTTCACACTGCATGACTATCTGGGCTAGCGTTTCGTCGCTGCTTTGTTTACACTGCAAGATGGATCGGTGACAGGGACTTTCACATTGCATGACTTTACTATAAGAAGAATCGCCGACAAGTTTGTCCAAACTACGTCTCACAGCCAAAAACACGTCGTATATCTTTTGTTATTAACTAGTTAATGAGAAAGAAGCCTTTAATGGGGTAGAACATGTACATGTTTGCTCACCTGGGTTTAAAGGGAATTAGTCATTTCTCCTCAACGTTGATAATAAACTAATTTCTTTCTGTATGAAATGTCAAACAGACACGGTTGCTCCTGAGTCCTGTCAAACCTCCACTAGTTTTTCCTCCATTTCGTGGGTCCAATTAAACAGAAAAGATCGCTTTTAACTTCTCCAGCTGGCCTGCAGCAGGTACACACACACGCACACACAAGTGAAAGCTGCTCTCTCATTGGCTGTAGGTGATCGCTGATGTTATTTTCAGTCAAAACTCAATTCACACGGCATGATTTGAATCGCCGACAGCTCCAGATATTTAGCATGCCAAATATCCCGCAGGCATCGGCGACTCATCTGCGATTCTCTCAGATCGCGTCTTTGATAGTTCATACTGTGTGATTGTCACTCACGTGCACGAGCAGCGATTTGCCTGTGATTTCAGGCCTTTGTCTGCAATTTCTCAAAACCTGTCGGCGAGCCAATATCGGGGCTAAAATCATGCAGTCTGAACTAGGCATTAGTTGTGCTTGCTATATTACAATCAGTATTTAGTAAATATACTGTAAGTTCTAATGTCACCAATGTTACTAGTTGAAACCTAAAGTGACGATGAGGTCTTGAAATCTGTGGAAACGGTCTTAAATAAGGTCTTAAAAGGTAATGAATTTCCCTACATGATTGCTGTACTGTATATACCCTGAAAATGGCATTGTCCACTGAAAAAGCTGAACATGAAGTAAACCTTCATCCACCAGTGGACTCCGTCATTGTACCAATTGGATGGATCCTTATAAAATATATTATTATGTCAGCGTGCTGTTATGTCATTTTAAAGGCAGTCTTTTCATTTTTATTTCAGACCTGATGGAGGACACACACCGTCATGAGAAAATGAGTGAAAAAACTGACTCACTGAAGAGAAAAGACAAAGAACGTGTCACCTGCACTCAGTGTGGAAAGAGTCTTGCAAACAAAAGGAGTCTCGGGAAACACATGAGGATCCACACTGGAAAGAAACCATGCACATGCACTCAGTGTGGGAAGAGTCTGGCAAACAAACAGAGTCTCGGGTGTCACATGAGGGTCCACACCAGAGAGAAACCGTTCACTTGTTCTCAGTGTGGGAAGAGTTTCGGACACTTATCAAACCTTATTAGTCACATGCTGATCCACAATGGAGATAAAACACACAAATGTGATCAGTGTGGGAAAACATTTTTGAGGGGTTCAGACCTGAAGAGCCACCTTAGAGTTCACACAAAGGAGAGGCCTTATCCATGCTCTGTGTGTGAAAAGAGTTTCAGACATCAAGTTAGTTTAAGAAATCATCAGAAGACCCACACCGGTGTGGGAGAGTACAGGTGCTTGGAGTGTAAGAAGACCTTCATTACGGCTGAAAATTTGAAAATACATGAGAGAATTCACACTGGAGAGAAACCTTACATTTGTTCACTGTGCAATAAGAGATTCAGTCAGTTTGCACAAATGAAATCACATGAGAGGGTTCACACTGGAGAGAAACCGTACAAGTGTTCACACTGCGACAAGCGAGTCAGTGATTTAGGAAATCTGAGAAAACATGAGAGGATTCACACTGGAGAGAAACCTTACATGTGTTCACACTGCGACACGAGATTCAGTGATTTAGGAACTCTGAAAAGACACAAGAGGATTCACACTGGAGAGAAACCTTACAAGTGTTCACACTGTGACAGGAGATTCAGACAGTTAGGAAACCTGCAAACACATGAGAGGATTCATACCAGAAAGAAACTGTACGTTCACACCGAAAGCAGCGAGAGCATCAAAGTAGGCGAAAGTCAATGAGAGCCGGCGGCGCGGAGCAGGGCGGCGCATCTTGGCTGATGTTGGCGTCGAGGACAGTTGAAATTAAGTCAGCTTTATGGTAATAAGCTATGACAGGGTTCCGCGGCAACCAATCAGAATGTAGAAGTCCACCGCTTGAGAGGAGTCCAGAGAACACAGTCACTGTGAACTTTGGTTCTGACCACAGTTGTTCCCAAGGGTTTGATTATTACGGTCGTCAGATTTCCAATTATTTACAATGTTTTCTTACAGGAACATACATAAAAAAGATCCTGGCGAATTACTGATGTACATTAATTGTTTTTTTTTTTTCTTTAAAAAAGGGGGAAACTCGTGCGACAATACAAAACAGTGCTGCTGCTTCAGGATATTACAGACATATGGACACAGTGGATAAGTAGAGCAAAGCCAGACCACAAGCAACTTGATCTTCCGTAGTTAAATGAGTTTGAGAATAAGAGCTGAAGGCAGACAGCGTTGTTACCAGGGTGGTCCACAGTGTTTTTTAAAGGTTTGATGGTGTTTATGGGGTGCAAAACAATGTGTGTTCATGATTCATCTATAAAAACTCTCGAGACAACCTGAGCTCAAACTGCCCTCTTGCCCTGCAAAGGGAGGGACCCTGTGCTCAAGGATCTTGTGAGCTCAGGGCTGTCCCCCGGGACAGCATGCCAAACAAGCTTTACAATCGATCATCAGCTAAGTGTGAACTCTTGAATATGTTGTGATTGGCGGGTCGGCTCCACATCACCAGGAAACGTCATGCCTCTCCTGCATGCTGTCTGTTAATAATGTCAGTGAAGACGTATCAGTTTGAGTCAGACACAGAAATGAAGAGGACACAGCTGAAGCCATGCAAACACGACTCTTGCAAGATGTTTCTGAATGCTGTGTTTTTGTTTTGTTCATTGGTATGAGGAGGAATGTGGTCAAGCCGTCAGCATTTGATAGAAATAGTTAAAGCAGATCAAACAGACAGAGTAACTCTTTCTAAATTACAGATTTGCTCAGTTATTTGTCCTAGCCCACTCAGTACAGTGTATTTACTATTGCATGCAGTTTTATATAATGTGGTTTTACCTTGTGAGCGACAGTAGTAAACAAATTAAAGAAACATTCAAATACTTTGTGTTACAAATATTCCTTTATTTCATTTGCAGGTCATTGCAGATCCACATGCAGGTTTATTACAAGAGAATGGTCAGGCAAGCAGCGGTCGACACAGGAGCAAACGGATGTATACAGGCAAATCCAGGGTCGTGGTCATACAACAGGCGGAGGGTCAGAAGGCAGGCAGCAGACAGGAATAAACAATAAAACAAGGCAAGGGTCTAACACGGCAAGGCAAATGCATCGTTAGGAATGGATGACGTGAAACTGATGTAAAGTCTTTGTTTATTTTAGAGAGCAGGTAAAACAGTCTACTTTGTTGTTTTTTTTGTTCACTTTCAACAATGCATTGCAGGGAACTCTAACTAGCTAACGTGCTGTTACTGTAACGCCGGAGAGTGACACCAACAACAGAATTTTGGATCCACGTGCAGGTTTATTAGAATTGTCTGGCAGGCAGTGGTCAATACCGGCAAACAGATGTATGAGGGCAATCCAGAGTCGAAGTCAAAACAACAGGCAGATGGTCAGAGGCAGGCAGCAAACAGAATTAAATAAATAAACAAGGCAAGGATCACAACACGGTAAAGGCAGACAAAGGAAACGCGTTGTACTGTCACTGTGACAGATAACAAGACTCAGCAACGTGTGTGGAAAAGAGGGTTTAAATAGTCCAAATAATCATTGTGTGAGTGGCTTCAGCTGTGAGAGTGCAATCAGTGTGGATCTAGAACCGGTTGTGTGTGTGTGTGTGGCATGACTGGGTGTTGTAGTCCATAACATGTCAGATATGTAGTTCAATGAGTGTGAATGTTTGTGTGTGAAAGTTTACCAGCGACATCTGGTGGTTGTTCGCTGGTGAACATGACAGTTATCAGAATCAGATGTTGTTGTGACTGAGACAGAGGCCACTGTAGTTCTCACCAAAACCTCACATTAACCTGAACGCATTTACCCCTTGTCCATCTGTATAAAATAAACAAATTTACAAACAATAAACCAAAAGCGTAACACACAGTCGTGTTAAACATGTACTTACCAGCCTAATCCATGTGCCTTTATCACGACTCCATCCCCGTCCCTGCCTGCTTCACCACCACCTGCACGCGTGTTTATAACTACAAAATACTCCAAAAATAAATATTAACCAAGCAAAGCTTACACTTATATATTTGAGCATGTCTGTTTTTAAATAACTACTGTAATTTTTACAATATTACATATTTGGTGCTTCATTAAGTGGATCAGATCTACAATTATAGCCTGTGTTGAATTGAGAAGACACACTGGAGTCTGGAGGAGCAGATTTATCTTACTGTATGTCATTTTGCTGGATACAGAAAAGCTGGAAAAACCCAAATATAGTAAATATATATTGGTGTATTGGGAAAAAAGTGATTAGTTTACTTCTATTATTTAAAAAAGTGAGATCAATTAGCATAATTATACAAATGAAGTCAACTGAACAGTTACAATGGGTTTACTTACATTATCTTTGTGAAGTCAGCTTGTTGCTTTTAAGGCAATTGGTTTACTTGCTTTAAGTACCGAATCACTTTTTACAGTGTGGTGAATCGTTTAAACGTTAAATAAAAATGTAATTTTAAATTGAAAAATTTAAATGTTAAATCCGGAGAACTTAAAATATTAAAGGTTTTTGCTGCCTAATGAGTAAGTTAAACACACCTGTTTTAGTTTTGATGCCAAAACCTGATATTTTAAGTAATGTCAATTATATTAACTTAATTTCTTTAGTAATGACAACAGCGGGGTTTAGCCTACAGTGTGGAGTGCACCGGATACAAAACACATGGAGTGTGGAGCAGTAGAAACTACGGATGCTCAAAATAATCGATTGACCGTTAACCGAAAGGGTGCGTTTGTGACCGATTAATGCTATCAGTTAAACGATTAAAATTATTATTTTATATATTTTTAGTTTGACTGCATAAGGGGCCGATTGAATGCGCCTTTGCGTTAAGAGGGGCATCTTTTGCACGCGTCTCATCACAGAGCAGCAGTTTGTGTTGTCAAGACAACTACAGAGAACTTTTAAAGAGCCCATATTATGGGTTTTTGAAAATTCCCCTCCATGTAGTGTGTAACACAGCTCTAAGTGAAGTGAAGTATCCAGCTAAGGCTTAAATCTGTAAGAATACAGTGTTTAAAACGGTTGATTCATCTATAAAAGAGTCGACTCATAGTGCTTCAAACGAGTCGCCTTGATACCGACTCATTAGGTGTTTCGCCATGACGTACGAACGAAACCAAGTTATTCACGTGCACGCGCAAACCCGGGAGATTTCAAACCTGAGGCCCCGCCCTCTGACGCAGAAACGCAGACACACACACACCCACAAACACACCCACACAAACATGCCGGTCGATTGAAGTAACACTGCAGATGGACATTATATTGAGTCTCTACCCAAAGATGAAACCTCAGCATTATAACCAAGCAGTTGGAAACTTCTGGAAGCTACATGCTACAAAGAATACTTCATCTGAGTTTGTTAAAGGAAGGATCAGTAAAGAGTAACTGATGGACGTCAGGATGGGTTTCTTCCATTTCTCAAGTGTAAGTACGTGCGGTTAAAGTTGTTGCCTCGTTTACTCTAGCTTGCAAATGTATTTAGTTGTGATTTGTTACTTGTAACCGCGTGTACTGTATCAGGTTAACTGGATATATTATCTTATCGCGTGCAAAGTCACGTTAAAAACGCGACGCGTGCTGTTTGTTTATGGAGCTCCGTGCTAGAGTTCTGCTCCCGCGATTTATTCGGAAATTTATTCCCGCGCCGCAGAAATCTGGCGCGGGGACAGCCGCGGGAATAAATTTCCGAATAAATCGCGGGAGCGGTCGGTAACGGGTTTAATTTGGGACGGGAGCGGGCTGTCTAGCAATATCACGGATATTGCTATGCGAATTAGAAAGAGAGAGTCTGCGTGGTGCTTGTGTGTTTGTTAGTGCGCACGCGCGCGTATGAGAGAGAGCGAGAGAGAGAGAGAGCGAACGAACGAACGAACGAACGAGCTTTCTGTGCTTTGTGCTGTGTGTGTGTGTTTGTACAGACAGCTTGGCTGTCTGGACTGTATACTGGGTGATTTTTGGTTGTGTTCTCCGCTCTAGCGGGACCGGGCGCGGCGGGCAGAAAACGGAGCGGGTTCTCAGGCTAAAACCTGGCGGGTGCGGGCGGGAGCGTTGTCATCCGGAGTTGTGTGTGTGTTTTTGTGTGTGTGTGGTATGGCGAGTACACGACTGTCTCCTTCGTTCGGTTATCCGTGGCACTATCCACTCGCCATAGTGTGGCAGCTAAAATCCACGTCTACACTATCGAGCGTGTATGAACTGTGATTACTTTTTAAATTGCTGATTAGCTATTGGCCATTTCCTTCTCTGACTGAAGGCAGTCGACCAATCGCGACAGACTGTCATCGGTCCAATCAGCGCAGATTAGCTCCGCGCTAAGGAGGGGTTTGGGAACAAATGAATCACTGGACGATTCATACAGGAGTCGCTGGGATAATTAGCTAAAAATAAATGCAGATTATAAGACCATGAAAGTGTTTTTTGACCTTGCATGCATATTAGACTGTTGTTGGAGACCCTTACAACCAGGATATGACCCTATTTCATGTATAATATGGGCTCTTTAAAGAGCATTTCCGCTACATTCATTATTCCATGGCGAGGACCAAAATGCATCCATCCAGGACTACATTACCCATTCAAAACATTCAGTCGTTGTTGTTTTTGATAGCGGATTATAATCGCTCCAAAACTTACTAAAAGGTAAGTGAATCATAACAGCACAAACTTTTCTGTAACCGTACAGTGCTGTGCGCTATTTGTTTAATCCTTTGGGGTGACGTGCTGACTGACTGACAGGTGCGCGATGCGTGAGGCCAGCAAACTCAATGAAGCTTTCAGTTAAGAAACTCTTGCTGCTTCACTCCACTCACTATTTACTATAGTATTATTTCATGTGTGGTGTCTGCAGTCAATTAAATTAGTTTTGTTTGTTCTATGATGATGAAGTTGTATTCAATGTTTTTTGTTGGCGGTTCTTTATTTATTTATGTATTTATTGTCTGCTTAACATTGATTCTGAAATTATTAATGTGACTGAAGCTGATTTCCTCCTGGCGCCCGGTGACCGCTGTAAGTCGCTGTTGCTGTGATTGTCCTCTGGATGGCAGTAGTACACAGCACACTGATAGCGGAGGCGCTGGAGGAAAAGCTCAGAACAAGCAACATTAAACTCGTGTTGAAGATGAGAAGAAACAAAGAGGCTACACTTCAGCTTTTATCAACTCTAGAGAGATTATTTAGCGAACACGACACAACTCCTGCCTTTCTTCATTATATCCTGGCTCTTGACTGTCAATTCCTCTGTGAAAGCGATCAGGAATAGCGGACTTTTACCGTGTTCATATGTAAACAGGTAACGTTGTGTTTCTCTCCTTATTTATTAGTTCAGATTCCTACTTTCTCAATATTCAAGTGTTTTTCTCTCGGCTGTGTTCCTCTTCAGTGTCGGTTTTCAGCTTTGTTTTTGCTTGGTTTTGGCCACTAACCTCTTATTAAAGCTCTCGATGTAAAAGCTTCTCGCGGTAAAAGCACAGGTTATGATTCCTGTTTACTTTCACACATTCTTATACTTCAGGATTTGTCTGATCTTTATTAGCGGCAAATGAAATGCTGTGTTCACTCATTTCAACCTCATGGATAAATACTGTAGTCATTTATAGTAAATAGTGTAGTATAAATACAAAACACCAACACTGTACTACATTTACAACAACTATATTACAACACAGCACAGTTTACTGCAGTAAAACTCATGTTTACTACAGTATGCAGAGCATTTTCATTTCACCACAGTTACTGCTGCAGCATTCAGTAACACAATAAAACAATACACTTTATTATAGTGTGGTTTAAAACACTACAGTATTAACTATATATTACTGTAGTATTTTTCATGTGGGTAGTTGTAAAATTGTGTAAAAAAAAGTGTATAATTATGGGTATTACTTTAAAGTAATTGATATTATAATTTATTGTCAAGATAAGGGTTGATTAATGCCTTTACTAATGAACAATTAGTAATGCGTTTATTACGGTATTCATCCTTGTTAACAACATTTATTAAGTTAAACAATGTTAGTTCATGTTAAATCTATGCATTAATGTTAACAAGCACAACTTTGGATTTTATTAAGGCATTAGTAAATGTTGAACTGATTAATTTACAGAATTATTCATACTTCGTATTAGTAAATGCATGAACTGATGGAGTAAAATTATTGTAAAGTATTACTGAACTATGAAATGTTAGTTTTGCGTAAAAACAATAATTGGCTGTGAAATTGATGAGCTAAAAATAATTATTTATTAATGCACTGTAAAAGTTACTTGTAAATTAACAAGCTGTAATTCACAAAATATATAGACAGCAGCTCGTTGTGTTTTTCTGGTTTATTTTATTACTATCTTTTGAGCAAGAATCAACATTAGTTTGAACAGTGTGAGTGCTCTGAATCGGGCCCAGGCACGCTTCAGTTGGCTAGCCCTGGCCAGGTTGGAAGACGTGTGCCAGAGCACAGTTTAACTGGGCTTTGACAAGGTACGCGTGTAGTACAAGAGTAAAGCGTACCTGAGTGCAAAACTGAAGATGCAACGTCACTTTTAAAGCACTTTCATATGCTCATTTCATCATTCTTTCTGTTCAATGAACATGAACTGTCATAGTTTATTAAAGTTGTAAACCCCTCACTGCACGTCAGCTGCACCTTCAGCAAACCTCCTAATACCTGCAGCACGAGGGCTTTATTATAATTTATGAACATCAAAAGTTATGGATCTGTTCGACAAAATATTTGACTGTCACTGCATCCCAAATGACTAAAACTATATAACTAAAGCAATCTCCACTGCAGAGCGAGAGCACTTCTCTTCTGTTAAACTGAACAGTCGCATCATTGATAGCGTAAGCTTGCTCAGGTTCAGAAGGCCATCTGTGGAGAGGGAAGGGGGGACAATCGCAATTAAGCATGGTTCAAGGCAACTGTACCTACCTAGTAGGCATTAGGGATACAACGATTATAGATTTTGGTTGTACGGTTATAGTCTGAGAAATAATCATGGTTTTACGATTATTATGCATTCATTCAATTCAAAACACTACTAGTTAGGGCTGGGCGATTTTCGAATTTGAATTTACGTTTTTACGACGATTTAATTTTGTATTAATATAGTTTAATATGATATAGTTTAGGCTGTCATGTGCGCGCCGTGTCGCGGCGCTTCTGGTGTGCGACCTGCTTGACTGTCTGTTAAAGCGTGAAGTCATGTAGGATTTTACTTGTTGCATTATTCTGAGTCACGTCTGTGTGGATTGTCAAGACATACTCCCTCATCAAGTCGATAAACTCGATCTCAACATGTATGAAGGACGTAAAATGCCATGTGAAAAACCGCACCGATCTTAGTTCGAACCGCGCTGATATTTTGGTTTGAACACGAGCACTTGTAGTGATGAAAATGAAAGTACCTGACCCACGACGTCATTTAGCGGACCTAGTTGAAACCCAGACAGGCAGTCAGGCATCATAATACAGAGAGTTGCAAAGTGCATTAAATGATCGATATTTTAAAGGGGGATACATAAAAATAGATTAAATGTATTATTTTATATTAGACACTCATCTGGTGCTTGTATTTGCTCCTGCTATACGTCCACAACTTCACGCATTGGGTTAAAATAGGCTTTACAGTTTCCATGTTCAGTCCTTTTCTTCCACTGTATCTTTTTAAGAAAAAGGCAGCAGCATTACAACCTGTCATTCAATCAGAAGACAAAGTCAAAGCCGAGCTGACAGACAATCTTTCCTAGACTCGGCAAAACTAGCAAAAAATACCTCTGTATTCCTGCAACTGCAATATTTACACAAATATTTCTTATTCAAATCTTCTGCAACGCTATTTAACTCGTGAATTTGTTTTACATTTATTTACACCTTGTTGACCAATTTATGTACGGCATGGCCATTAAAAATACAATGTTCCTTAACCAGATGGTTTTTCAAGTTACTTATAAAGAGAATGTTACTTCAGTCATGTTGTTGTAATGTTTTAAGTTGACTAGTTACACAATAAAAAATAAAAAAACATCATGAATCAGTCAAACTTTATTAAAAATCTAGATTTTTTTTTTTGCCAAATCGCCCAGCCCTACTAATAGTATAGAAAATCAGATGAAAAAGTGTTTTTGCTGCTCAGTAACCAATTAACACAGCACAAAATAATATTAAAAACTAACAATAGTCCATGGGTCACACTTTACAATAAGGTTCATTAGCTAATGTTAATTAATGCATTTACTAACATGAACAAACAATGAACAATACATTTACTAGAGTATTTGTTCATGCTAGTTAACGTTAGTTAACTAGTTACAGTTGTTCATTGTTAGTTCATGTTAACTCATGGTGCATTAACTAATGTTAACAAGCATAGACTTGGATGTTAAAAATGCATTAGTAAATGTTCAATTATGATTAATAAATGCTGTACATGTGTTGTTCATGTTAGTAAATGCATTAACTAATAACCCTTATTGTAAAGAGTTACCAGTTCATGTCTCTCTGTGCTTAAAATTAAGTACATTTTTTTTGACATTTAAACACATAAATAAATTTTACACTATAAATAAATGACAGAACAATGAAAAAATATATAGTATTTGTCTAATGCGGGGCTAGAAATGAACTTTTTTAATTAGCAGTTTCTCCCAACTTCAAAAATTTTAGGAGCACCAAAAACAAAACAAAAACTAGGAGCACCCAACAAAAATGAATGAGCACCACAGCAAATTGTATATTAACAGATTTATGTATTTGAAAACAACATCAATCAGGACTAACAAAATCCAGAAACATTAATTCTGTTATGACTTATTGATATTTGTGCAATAATTCCAAAATGAGTGTCCAATAACGATAAAATATTAATGATGACAATAAAACTAACAATGAATAACATTATCATGCTGCCTTGAATGTGCTTGAATGTGAGTTATCTGCTAAAAAAAAAAAGTCCTACTGTTACATTATGAGAAAAGAAATCTATGATTTGCATCAAACAAAAATGAAGCATTGCTGTAGGAAATATACATTTTGCACTTTTCTTTTTATACGCATGTCAATATAATAACCAGAAAGATCGGACAAAAAACAGGGAGAAGTCTCACTTCTGTAAAGGTTTTGGTTTGTGTCCTTTTAAATGCTCAGACTTGTTATGCGCTGATTTACATTTTTCTGTGTTTGTGGGAAAAAGCAGGCGAGTCAGCCGGCTCAATATATGAGCGGCGCAGGGCAGGATTCTCACGATGACCGCCTTCACAGCACAGTTCTTTGTCATGTGACGAAGTTTAGTAGTAACGAAGTGTGACTTAAAGTAGTGAAGAAGTTGAGCTAAGTTCTATACACTGTTAGATTTTACATTTAGCATCCATTTGCGCTGAACATGCAGTGAGTGCAACACATCGAGATTCGGGCCAATAAACAGCTGATCCACCCAGTCTTTCAGCACTCTCTCTGAAAACACTGGATTAATCTCGGCTGGTGGATCAAGCTTCACCGCATGATCCCTCTCATCAACGCCAATATTTGTAACTTTAAATGGGTTTGCCAACCTGTGTACTTTTCATCGCTTCTTCCTCAAATTTCAGCCGTTTGCAGTTCCTGCGGTCACAAAAGCCTCCATCTCAACTAGTGCGCCTGTAAAGTGTGAGTGCGTTGCGTCGCGTGCACCTCCCTTCATTTGAAATGAGGAACTTGCACAAGCTTGCCTTAGTTAATAGCCTCAGTCATAGTTAATTTCGTGTCTTGTGTACAAACTAACACACAGTTGGGCACAACTTTGTTCGGTGCTGCAGTATTCCTTGCAGAAATGTGGTGTTGAGAAGTCTTTACGATTGATTAACTGTGACAAATTAAATCGCGGTTAATAGCAAAACCAGTTAATCGTTGCATCCCTAGTAGGCGTGGGACGATATCTGTTTTCAAGGTATACCGAGGTTTGGAAAAGTCAAGGTTTTAAAACTGTCAAAATTTTCTGTAATACCATTCCTAAGGTATGTGTAGGATTTTTTTAAAAACTTTGTTGTTGTTTAGGACTACTGTATCTCCAGCAGAAAAGATATGCAAAGTTGCTGCTTTAAAATGTAAAAAAAAAAAATGTGTTTCTAAAACTAATGGAGACAGCAGAATAATAATTCATTTGAATTATTCAGCCTGAGTTTACTGCTCCAAAATATTTTAAATGTTTTTCAAAGTAAAATATTTTTTGTTCAAAGGGTAAAAAAGTTTGTTTTTTACTCAGACTTTTTTCAAAAGAATATATTTTAGTAGTAATTACAATACCATGATATTTTTATTC